TTACTAGGCTTCTTGGTTTAGATTAAAGTAATAAAATGGACGCCAAATGCAATCAATGTCGAGTGATGTTCCCATCTCAAGAAGACTTACAAGGACATTACAAAGATTGGTTTGAAGCTCTTCTTTAGAGGAACCCTACCATTTCATTAAAGACTCTTATCGGTTTCATGCTGATTTATCTTTTTTTTTTTCGTCATTTAAATTTTACAAAGTGGTCCGCCAGAAGAGTAAAAGGAATCTAATATAGAAATTTAATGAAATTCATGTTTTTGGTTTATAAAGTTACAAAAAAGAGAGAAAAATGTCACCACAATTGAAGGGCAGGTATATTGGACTTTTTTCTAGAAAGAGACAAAAGACGATCGATAGCTATTTAGATTTTATCATCGAGTTTTTTAATATCCTTTATCAAATATTTAGACTTTTGTCGCCTGATATTAAAAGTCACTAAATACAGCTAATTATTGCTGAATCTCTCGGAAAATAAATCATTTTCGTAGATGGCTGCATAAAGATGAGATTAAGAGAGGTGGCATTAAAGGTTTAATTTTTTGGGTGATTTCATTGCAATTCCACACCTTTCTGCTCTAGGCGACATATTCTGCAGACACAAAATCAGAAAAATTTAAAGATTAAATCTTACTAAAGCCATGATTTGAATGTTTTTCAAATAAAATTTGTATCAAATATGACAAAGACAGATAAGGCCTGAAAACTTTGATCGATAGATTTGATGTACATGTATTTGATTTGGCCAGAGTCGGCAAAGAAAATTTCAAATTGAATTTTGTTGTACCAAAAATAACTGAAACCGGTATAAGAATTGGAAACTTTCAGCGATTGATTGTATTGTAACTGGTCAGTGTCTGTATACAACATGTATACATGTATTTATAAAGCAATTTTGCTATGACGTTTCTGCTGTAGATATTTGCAAGATAATCATATTGTCTTATTTCTAAAACTTTTTGCAAGCCAGAAATTGTTTAAAAGAATCTGCAAGTTTTACTCTCTGGACTTCGTATTGGATTTGTTTTTACATGTTTCTTTAAATTGCAATCTATTCTGATGAGAAGGGTGGATTTTATTATTAAAAAATTAGCAAATGAAGTTGGAAATACAAACTTAATCCTAAAAATAAAGATAAAGATAATAAACATCTCAGAGAGAACCTGCCATTTTGGTTTGTAGGCAGACGCATTTGCGTGTGAATTTTCCGAAGGTTATCTCAAAGCGCACATGAAATATTAATTTTTATTTTAAAAAAATATTCAAAGAAAGACCAATTATTCCTGCCAGAAAGTTCACATGAAATAGCAATACGTTGTTCAAATTTCACAAGTACAAAAATCCATGGGTATTGTGCTCTTTTTAAAACTTCTTCATCAAAAACATAATCATGCAATGTATTACAAAATTTATAAGTCGTATACAAAGATGAATTGGCCTTTTAAACGTTAATTGTTCATCGAAACGACTGGGTTTTTTGCAAAAGACATTTACACCGTGCCGCTTGGTAAAGCTAAAATCTTTTTTAATGGTATTAACGTTATGGACTCAACTTCTATGCCTGACAATGCAAATGTATATATTTTTTTCCAGAAATTTAGCCTTTATTCTGAGATACAATGGCGTTTATTTTATTTCTGAAATTGATACCCGCGTTTGTCCGGACTAATATCCACTGAACAGCACTTTCCATTGCCTAAGTTAATAACTATATTGTAAATTTTGAATAATTGATATGAAAGAAATAAAGAAACCTAGCTTCTTTTCAAAGAAGCGTTACATGTAAAGTATGTTCAATGCAAAATGTTTGAGTCTGAAAAAAAGGGGTAAATATTGATTGTTGAAACAAATGTTAATTCCGGATCCTTTCAAAAATTAAAAAAATGATATGAACCTCAGAGAGAATGAATGATAATTCAAAATAACGCAGATTTCTACCTAAAGACAGACACATCTCAAATAAAAACTATCACTACTCTCTCCTGCGGAACTTGTTAGCACATACACACTTGCATATGGCATTTTCTATTCTTTAATGTTTATTAAAAGAGTAAGGGATCATTTGCGGTCTGTAATGGCCCATACTGACCCTGGCGGATCATGTGCACTTTTTTTCGCGTGGCATATGTTTTTTAAGAAAGCCTTGCGCACGGTTTATTGTTAGTTTTTTATAATGTGTAAATTATATGATCATCCGGTGAAACAAAAGTCCTCGTTTATTTCTTACTACAAAGTGAATTTGAATGATCTCCAACTTCCTAAAGCTATTTTATTTTTAACTGGATCCCATCTTTCTTTGTGAACGATAACTTTTACGATATTTTCATGACTTAATTTTTTATAGCATGTTGCTCTCTCATAATTTTTTGCCAGAAATACACAATTCCCCCAAAAATTAACGGGAAGGAAAAGTCCTGTCTGAAACACAATCAAGCATTAAAACTTTAATTAACGATTGATCCTGTACACCAGGAATGTCAATTTTAAAACAAAATGAAGTTATCTTTTTCAATGTTCTATTGGATAACTGCAAGAGATTAATGCGATATTTGTTTTAAAAAGAAAATAGAGACAATCTTAAACAGTGAGTACTTCAAAAGTTTGAAATTCATTCATCATTTTCTTTAGTACCAAAAAATACCGGTATTTTAGATTCCTGGGAAATCTTGAAAGATACTCTCTGCACGTATTTTTGAAGTGCCTCAGTTCAGTTATTGATAAAAAATGATAGGTTAATATAATAAACCATAGCAAATTTTTATGCTGCCATCAGGTGATATTTTAACTAACAATTTTATACCAATAATTATTGTTAAGCTTTTGTTTTTTTATACTTAATTTTACTATGGAATTTTCCGTTTACCCCAACAATACACGTATACATGTGAATTATGCCGTGTGTGACCGATCAACAAGGGGTTTGCTTACTCCTCATACGCACCTGATCCCATCTCTGGAATTTAATATGTCCTGATCATTGTTCATTAAATTTTTTGTTTGTAAGTGTTTTTTGTTACATCAATCACTGTTTAATATTTAACATTTTTAATTATTCCAGTGAAAGCAAAAAAAAAAAAAAAAAACAAAAAAAAAACAGTGCACCACCCACCCCAATAAAATGCAATTGAGATATTGTGATGTTCCGTTTTTATTGGAACAGAGGGTTTCTTTCCCTTATACATTGTACATGAATCCTAGCGAATTTTCTGTGCGCCACATTTCCGCATATTGATATTACTATTGAGCTTAAAATGTTACGATTCCGCAAAACTTTCTTACTGTTTTTTTTTTAACAAATAAAAACTATTTCCATTTATGCTTGATAGTAATGTTGCTATCTCAATGCTTATCTTAATGAATCATGCCCATTTTACTTATACATTGTATGTTGGTTTTCATTGTCTTTTCACAGTATTGAAGTTGAGTAAAACGAATTACTAGCTATTAAATTCACACGAAATTATATACATGTACTTTACAAATTGTCTTAAAAACTGAATATATTTTGATTACTTCTATCTAAATCCATTGTACCACATCTTTTTTTGAAATATTGATACTAACGTCGGTGTATTAGCACTTTGATTCAGTTGTGCAAATAGCACTAAACGCGTCCGCTTAATCAAACATTCCCTTTATTCATGATTAATCAACAGTTTATTACCACGTGTATTCAGTAGAGCGAATCTTCTACGTTTAATATTGTAAAACATTTAAATTTTTTCTCCTTTTAGAACACATGTTGCACTATCCTCTTCCTGCAGATCGAGAGTTGAATGAAACATTGAATACATACTGAATTTATGACTGAGTGAATTGTGTTGTATAATCATTATATAACGTTCTTTCTTTTGTTGTGAAGTCCACATAAAGGGAGGGGGTTAACTATGAAATAACCATATGATATATTTAGATAAAATATGAGATAAATCAAACAAAAGAAAATCTTTTCACGGTTGACATGATATTTCAAAAGGCCTTTATTTTGTGTTCTTTTTAAATAATAATAAGACTTGTGTGTTAAAAAAGAAATTATACGAGTCGTTGTCTTTGATCCGATATAACAAATCAATTGTTTTTGTTCATTAACAGGAAAACATTATAATGTTTGTATTTTTAAATTGATTATTTAATAATGGTTCTCCACGAACTCATCCAAATGCTTTTGATCTTTCATACAATATAAGCTTATGTGATTTTGATCGAACAATATACTCTGCAACATTAAAAAAGGCACGTTTATAATTGATTAATTAACTTTTATCTATTGATTTATGGGACAAAATTACTTTAACTCATTGCTTACTTAAAGCATTTCAAAGACATTTTCCTCCATTCTGAAATATTATCTTTACAACAGTCTACAATGTACGTTAATTAATCGTTTTATTGACGAATAATTAAGATAATCTTTTTTCAATCACTTTCTCTTTCTCCAGTTAATGGTTCTTCTAGTAAAGGAAAACAAATCCAATACAACATCTTTGTTCTTAATTTATAAGTATCGGGATGAGTTAAAGTTGTGATATTTTTATTTTCTTATTGTAAAATACATGTTCCATGCACATACTTCTACCCTCCTCTTGTCAATATCATGAACAAGAAATCTCAAACTATAGCTCGCATTAAGTACGCATTAATTAGATAATTAAAATTGTCTTAGATTATTAAATATAGCCTTACCTCCATCAGTATGGTTAAATTCTCACATTAATGTCTGGTCACCGTTTAAGCGTGCAGTGCGTATGAATATCACTCGTCTATGTTCGATATTCTATTATCCCGATGCAGCATCGACTGCTGCCTATACTTAATATCGTGCTAAGCCAGACGTAGGACTATATTGCCCAATATTTATCTTTCATGTTGTCACTCATAATTAAATTATTTTTATGATAATCACACAAAATTAAGGGGTAACTGCATATTCAAACCACCTGCGAGGTCCTTAATTTTATGTAGAGAAGTGATTTCAAAAAACAGATACCTACCTGACTTGAGGAAACTTGTATCTTTTAGGTGATCTGTAATGATAAAGTAAAAAGTGGATAATGGAAACAATTATTGATCTGCAAACAATTTATTTACAGAATACCCTTCTTCATACATCAGGTGAAATTTGCATTAATTTTAGGCATTTGTCAATGAAAATGTTTCAAGACTATAATAAAATACAATTAGATGTGTATAGCATGCAATCCAGATTTATAAATGGATGAGCGTAAAAAAGATAACGGAACAAGGAAAAAAACATTAACAATATCTTATCATAATTCAAAAAGTATTCAAAGGAATCAATTTCTCTACAACATAAGATAGATTTTAGCGGAGAAAATGAAACAATTATAACTCATGTACCAAGACTTTTCCCTCATTATCGTCTCTCAGTTTTCCAGGTTGAAACCACGGGATTGTCTTGTAAATTTTTTAAAACTTATATAGCAATTAAAGACGACCCTCATAATAGCCTGAATCATAGATTGCTTATCTTTATTTCTGTCTTTGGTCGATGAAATACATCGGGAAAAGTAACAGTTCTCTGATAAAGGTGTTATTTCATGTATATTTCTCTGTATATTGCGGTGCTCTGTTTTGATCACGTCGGGTACAGAAATGTTTATTGCTATAGCATGCAGTAGAATCGTGTATTTTTCATGGTTATTGCTGTCAACTCAAGAAAAGTACATCGACGCATGTCAAGAACGTTAAAACAACTGGCTCCTTGAAGATGCAGGAATCCTATCCAACAAGCTCAAGAACTGCAGAATAGAGCTAAAGGAAGCCACACTTTTGCAAAACAGTGTCAAGAATTATGTATAAATCATTCAATTTATGTCATTGGTGAATTACAATTCTGTCAGTTTTACTCTGATTATGTGACCGTTATGAAATGGTTAGCTGAATTGTTCAATATGATCAAATATAATTCTTGACTTTCTGATAAGCTGAAGTCGAACAGTGTACATTGTATTCACAAGCAGTGACCTTTTAAGAATTTATTATTTTTCTTACAAAAAAGAATTATATTCTTCCAAATTAATTCGATTAGTTATGATAAGTTAGATCAGCTTTACCCTACCTCCACCCAGATAAATATAATAACCATGCAAAAAGTATTGAGAAAGGATAAGTAAATTATATATACAACTAGTGCTAATTGTAACGGGGACCGTTACAGATGTTCCCCAAACGCTCCCAAACTCCCTTTTGGTGCCATATTCCCTGTAAGCTTCATTAAATAAGACAAACTCTATGCATCTGAGATTTTAACAACATTTACAAAGAAGTGTACAAAAATCATTTAAACTTTAGCTTTGCACGCGTGCACATGTGAATGCATTTGCGTCATGACCATATCATCTTGTCTACACAATCTATATTTTTAATGCACTGAATGTTAAAGTATTTAATCCAAAATTATTTAAAAAATACGCTCATTCAAGTGTATGTTTGATTTTACTCATTTCACGTGCACGCACGTGCATACATGAGCATGGTGACCATACCTTCTTGTAGAAGTCCATTACATCTATCTATGTTCTAAATTCCACCTCGTTTGGGTGAAAACTAAGGGAGTTATAGCTGTTTAAATTTTCAGCCAATCAGATTGCAGCACATGTACACGCACGTGTATGCATGTGCATGGTGACCATACCTACTTGTAGAAGTATATTATATCTATCTATATTCCAAATCCCATCCTGTTTGGTTGAAAACCAAGGGAGTTATAGCTGTTTAAAGTTTCAGCCAATCAGATTGCAGCGCACGTGCATGCACGTGTTTTCATGATAATTGCTTTATTTCATGTTGTAGGATATCCTAATGCATGGCTATGTTCAAAATTTCAAAGGATTTCGTCAAAAAACAAGAAAGATATTGAGACTTTCGTTGCAGCCAATCAGAGCGAAGTGCACGTGCATGCGCGTGAGATCTTGCTATTTTCACCATGTCATCATGTCTATACTACTAATACATCCTCACATTATGAGTTTCAAAGCATTTCATATAACAAAAGAAAAGTTGTGGCTATATCTATTATATTGGTCATTTCACGTGTTGCACGTGCACGCTCTTGCAAGCACGTGCGCGCAAAATGACCTTGATTCCGCAAATCTACATAACATGTCTACTAACCCTAAAAAGGTTTTACCTACATCGGACGAACAGTTTACAAGATCATTCCTGGACAAAAAAGTTCCAGGAAGAAGAAGAAGAAAAATAATAATAACTAGAAAGTCTGCTATTGCAAGCAATAGCATATGTCGCCCCGTATTAGACAAGACTTTCATTTTTATCATCACTAAAACAAAAGTCCATAAGCTAAGTTTGAACAACCATTGAGTTATATCAGTCCTTTCCATTGGAAACGGAAGACCTTAATTCGGTACATCCCACTCATTATTTTTAGAATCGGTAGGAGAAGAAAGTAGTGCAGGAAAATCACAAGTTCCTCAATTTGCAGACTTGCATAAAAGAAATCTGGCAGATGTACTGAACTGAGCCTCATACTTGTTAATTGGCAGTATCTTTCCTATGATAAAAGCTTGGGAAATGTAATTTATGAAGAAGATCAGCCGAATTATTTTGTGTATTGTAACGCCAGTGAGAACTCTGAAATTTCCCTCTTTCACTTTCATTTTAGAGGTTCTACCGAAAAACGAATCTGACATGCCACCATCAGTTCGAGCATTTCTGCATTGCAGAGAGCTGATGTGTGTTATGAGATAATAAATCATGTGTGAACTTTCTCAGTTTAGCGGAATCATGAACATTTTCGGCGAGATGAATGTTTTGTATACAGTGGTGATCAATTAAGGCTTTGCGAACCATCAGGAGCGGATCAAAGAATTTATGAATGAATAAAAACTATGGAAATGACGTACCAATTTTTTAATTTATACTTGCACTATCTAATGAAATGAATAATATACAAGTGATAGATATACAAGAAAACGCGAAATGATAATAAATGTAGCTGACAATCGTTATTTTTTTTTTATATAGATAAAATAAAATATTTATAAATTCAAGAGACAAAACAGAAGGAGAATGAATAATGGCAAAATATCACATGACCGGAACTGAATTTTATGAATGAAGATTTTAAAAAGTTACTTGTAAGTTGTATATGTTATATCTGTGTATTCTACTTGGCTGTGTGCTTCATAAAAAGAGGGGGGGGGGGGCGTCTTGAACATAGTAAATAGCCATAACGTTCGAACGGTAAGTACTAGGGCTTTCGTATTTCAAATATGTAATCCTTGTGAAAAGAACTTTTATTGGATACGACGAACTTTGACCCTTTGACCTAGACCTTGGAGAACACATGTGTACATCTGAATCTTTTTTTCTGTTTCGTTTCTATGGCAACCGTGAGCGACTCATTACAATTATTTTGAAAGTAGAAATCACTTTGACACATTGCAAGGAATAAACATTGAAAGTTTCAAAACGATTGCCTGAGTAGTTATTGAGAAAATCGAAATTAAAGAATTTTAACTTTCACCTGGTTTCCATGGCAATAATCGATTATATGAAAATTTTAAATACGAGTTGCAGAACTACAGATACTAATCATTAAAATAAGAAAAGTTTCATGACGAACGTTTAAGGAACCAGAGAGAACACTCTCGGACAAAATTTGTCGCTTTTTACAGGTTTCCATGGCAACGGTAGACATATTGGAACTGAACGACCTCACTGCACAACTACAACCAGTGATCGTCCTTGAAGGAAAGTTTCAGGAAGATTGTCCCAGCCATCTCCGAGAAACAGCCTGGATAAAAAAAACATGCGTACAATATCAATATGTCGTCCCCGACTTCGTTCGGGGCGACATAATAAGAAACAGAGTAAAAACAATATGTTCCCCAACTTCGTTTGGGGAACATAACTAATATGATAATGTTCATTGAGAGACTGATTCCCGCCCAAACTTTTTAAATAGTGTTGTAATATTCAGTAAATCCCTACTTGCTTTCTCCTTGGATTATTTTTGAGTTTGTTGGGGGAATTTTCCCCTTTTTATTGTTTTTTTTTTCAAAGATTATTTAAAGGTAAGTTTTTTTCCCTATCTTTCAAATGGATGCCACAGGACCTATTCTTTTTCTCCATCGCACCAAAAATTGATTGAGAAATTAAAAATTAAGTACAAAATTAATACACCTTTACGCCCTTTAGACTCGGTGAATATTTTGCTCTCTGATTGCATATTATCGTATAGTCCTCAAACACAGCTCTGATTGAAAATGGTCTCTTGGCTAACCACTTTTTTTCGGATCGTTTAGTAATGACAATATTCGAAAAGAAGGAATTCAAAGTTTTTAGATGAAACTAATTTAAAAATAAAACAGAAATTAGAAAATTAAAGGAGGTTCCATTTTTAATCAGTCTAAAAAATGAATGTATTCTTTAAACGTTGCGCTTGGTTAATGTACAACCGGGAGAAATTATACACGTGCACCTACAGCCGTGATAATTAACTTTGAATTCTTTATGCACTTTTCGTGCTACAGCTCTCGTGGGGCACATGTTGATTTATATCAATAAAAATATAAGACCGCGATAGCTATTTTATTATGACGACTGCTAAACTATACCTTCAATCAAGTGAGACATTTTCTAAATTTTATTACATTTGGTGGTGTTGGATTTCTCTCCCCAATTAGTTTGCAGCTACATCGTTCTAACTATATTGATGTAACACCCTACAACATTGATTTTTTAAAAACCTGGAATCTGACGAATGTGTATTCGATAAAATTGAGAGATTGAATCATATATGATGGATTTACAAGTATAATTCTCACATTTATCACTGACAAGAAGATCATCATTTACAACATGGGAGATTGATAAATACCAAATACATGTATAAAAAGCTAATCTAATTGATCACTCTAAATATTGGGGTTTAAAACAGCTCACTGAAGTTCAGATCGCCCTGTAAAAACTGATACAAATTAATGTTCCAATGGGATTATACGGATTTCATCACCAATTACGGATGCATAGTTATTGAATA